GATCTACAAATTAGGGCCGGTTACCCAAACCGAGTTTCGGGTTACTGGTAAACGGCCCATGGCCTGGTTCTGAGGCCAGTTCGTGGAATCGAACACTTGTTTAGGCAAAACTTTCTTCATTAACTTTAACAGTTGTTGTAATGAAGGGTTGGGGTTATTGGCATTTGCCTTTTCTGTCTGAAATTGACGCATCGCCTAACTACTGTTAGTTGCATTTGGGCCATCTTTTGGCCTTCTGAATGGAAATACTTGGTGTTTTGAATGCAAATACTTGGTATTTTGTAGTTAGAGAGAGGGAGGTCCCAGAATCAGCAACGAACTTCCGATTTGTCTTGAGTGGGAGATGGACGGGCGAAATTGTGGAAAGTTATGGCCGTCTCATTTCTCTAGGGACGTGATTTCTTTGTAGCCAGCCCATGTGTAGAAATGAGGGCGTTTTAATAAATTTAGGATTTTATGACCTAATTTTTAAAAACATGTAATTTTTAATATGAAGATCAAGAATAAATAAATAAATTTTAAAACCTAAAAATAATAATTTTACTAAAACAAACATTGGAAAGTTTTTATGGTCCCCTACAACATAAAAGTTCTATCTTCCTCCTACCATCGAGCTCTCCATTTTTTTATTGAGAGAGCCACTCACTGTTTCATCTTAGATTCGATGTTTCAAAGTATTTTATTTTTAGTTTTTTTAATACAAATTTTTAAATTTTGAAATTTGGTTGTGTTGTCTTCACATTGCGGCGTACTTATAAAAAATATTAACAATAATTTTTTGATAAAAAAAAATGACCAAAATATCCCTTAAAAGTTTCAGAGGTATTTTGGTTATTTTATTTAATTGAAAATATTTTTTTTATATTTTTTGTTAGTGCGAGTTTAATAGAGAAATGGACCTCCAAAATTTGGTGTCAAAACAGTTTATAAAAAAAATTAAAAATAAAATGATGTAGAGACTTGACATTGTGATTATCTTAGCCCTCCATTCAAAAAATAGAGTGTTGGATAGGAGAGGAGCAGGAGAACATAAAAAGCTTTCCCAAAAAAACATTTAGACTATTAGTTTACATTATTTTTAAAACACCTAATTGCATTGGATGTTTTACACTATTTGAACCAATGGTTTAAAAAGCGGATCAGTGACCCAGATCGGGCACCTCAAAAATCGATTCGGATTGGCAAATCGGCGATCCGGATAGGGAATCGGCTGAATTGGTTAGATTAAAGCTTCAAAAAAATCCGAAAAATTATTAAAATTCATTATAAATGTTGTTTTTTAGGAATCCAATAAGAAATGAGGGTACTACATTATTAACTTCCATTTTCTTTATCAATTTGTGAATATTGAGATGCTCTTTCCCTGTATGAACTTATGTTGATCATTAAATTTACATCACACAAAAGAAATCCTAGAATTATCATGGATTAATTATATAATCATATATGGACTACAATGAAGAGTTGACTAAATCGATGAAAATTTGGCCACTAAAATCTCGAATTGGCGGAAAACCCTAATCCGCTAAAAAAACCAAAATTATTACAACCTAACTAACTATAATATTATGTACCAACAATATTTTATAATTATTTTATTAGATAAATAATAACAAGTCCAAAATATTTTATAATATCATCTAATTTAAAATGTATTATTGACAACTGTAAGAAAAATAGTACACTACACGATTTATAATACAAAAATTAATAAATAAAATAAAAAATTTGGTTATCAATGCAGAAATTATTAGAATGCGTACCAATTTTCTTTAATTTTTTAGGTTTCTAGAATAAATTAGTGGAAGAGATTGTTAGTAGAAAGAGAGAGATTTCAAATTGCCTCATTGTATGAATCCTATCTTTAAGTTAATAATACTAAATTTATGTTAAAGACCATCTTGTTATAAAAAATATATATATAATTAGACCATTTATTCCTAAGTTGTATGAAGAAATACGTTTTATTTTGTTGACAAAAACACTTATTGTGTTACCTTTTTTTTTTTTTTACAAGAAAAATATGATACTTGTTGATTATCTTTGTTTTTTTCTTTTTTGACAAAAGAAGAAGATGTTGTACTACATTTTTTTTGCTTGTTGTATTACTTTTTATTTTTTTTTACAAGAAAAATAAAAAATGATGCTGTCAAAGTATATTTTATTTTTTTATGCCTTTTGTTTTATTTTTTTTGCAAGAAATACTTGTTATATTACCTTGTATTTTTTTTACAAGAAAAATAAAAAAATGTTGTATGATCTTTTTTATCTTTATCTTGAAAAGCCTTTTATTTTATATTTTTTCTATTTTTTTACAACAGTATTTTTTGCCTTGGTTTATTTTTTTGACAACAAATTGTATTTTTTTACAAAAAAATAAAAAAATATTGTATTATATTTTTTGTCTTTATCTTGAAAAGCCTTTTATTTTATATTTTTTCTATGTTTTTTACAACAGTATTTCTGCCTTTGTTTATTTTTTTACAGCAAAATTTTTTTTGTATTTTTTGGTTATGCGCTAAGGGGTTCGAAATCAAAAAAAAAATAAATATTTGTTGTCGCTAAGGGGTTCGAACTCAAAATATTTTTTGGTGTTCGCTATGGGGTTCAAAGTCAAGACATACACCCAAAATTCGGTGTTGTCAACCAACATAGCCACGTCACCACATTCTTCTAGCTTCCATAATAATATATATTCAATGATATTGCTTTAATGACTTTTTGTGGGAATTATCCCACATCGAAGGATGAGTGTTGCTTGATTCTCTATAAACTCTGTTGCGCTTGTAGAAACATGAGGGAGGCAAATGTGAGATGAGTTATCACGTGTGGCTGTGTGTCACTTTCGTGCGGTGGCCACGCCTCACTCATGTGAGGCTGCCATGTGTAAACCTAAAAAAATACTAGTTTTTTCTATGAGGCTGCCACGTGTAAACCCCATGTGAGGCTGCCACATGTAAACCCAAAAAAATACTAGTTTTTTCTATGAGGCTGCCACGTGTAAACCAAAAAAATACCGGTTTTTTCTGCGAGACTCGCGATTCACTATTCGGAATCGCCCTGTTCTCTCTGGACTCGGGCAATTCCCGGTTTTTTCTGTGAGACTAGCGATTCACTATTCGGGATCGCCCGGTTCTCTCTGAACATGGGCGACTCCTGGTTTTTTCGTGGAACCGGCTTGGTAGCAGGTGAGGCTGCCACGTGTAAACCCAAAAAAATACCTGTTTTTTCTGTGAGATTCGCAATTCACTATTCGGAATCTCCCGGTTCTCTCTGGACACGGGCGATTCCCGGTTTTTTCGTAGAACCGGCTTGGTAGCAGGCGATTCCCAAATCGTACAGGTTTTTTCTGTGAGACTCGCGATTCCCTATTCGGAATCGCCCGGTTCTCTCTGGACACGGGCGATTCCCAATTTTTTCGTGGAACCAGGTTGATAGCAAGCGATTCCCAAATCGAACCGGGCGAGTCCGGCTCGACTCGACGAGTTTTATGTGAGACTTGCGATTCACTATTTAGAACGCCCGGTTCTCTTTGGACGCGAGCGATTCCCAGTTTTTTCGTGGAACCGGCTTGATAGCAGACGATTCTCAAATCGAACCGGACGAGTCCGGCTCGACTCGACGAGTTTTCAAATACTGATTTGATCCGTATGTAACCATCGGGACAGCTGGCATGAAACAATTTTACGCTCAAAATTTTCCACTCTACGCTCAAAATTTTCCACCTGCCTAGAGAGAGATGATAGGCTTGGTGAGTCGTACGCGCGACAATTTTGAACAGGGCAACTGCCAATAATTTGAATGAGAGTAGGAGAAGGGGCAATACGCACGTGGAGAGAAATAGTAGACAGAGAAAGGTCAGAAAAAGATAGAGAGAGAAAGAGGAGGGGCAACGTTTGAAGAGGCGCTTTGAAAGGCCAACCTGTGGGGCACGAACATATCTTCGCCCTTGGGGCTCTTAAAATCACACAAAATAGTAGTGAACACTGTAAAAGGATTGGTGGGTGGAGCTTCTTTACTACGATGGCTGTCACGTAATGGAGCCAATGAGGAGAGAGAAACAAGAAAGCCACTCGCCCTACTCCGGCCCTGTCAAAACCCGGAATTAGGGGCCAGCCTTGGCCCGGCTTGAGCCTATTCTCTCTATGGTTGGCTCAAGCTATCCATAATATAAAAATAACACTTGGAAATGGTGGACAATTAGTTAGCGAAACTGATTGTAAAATAGGGTAAATCTGCCACATTAAAATTACTATATGGAGAGCTTTGTTTGATATCCACAAACTGGTCAACAACAATAAGACAAGTTGGTAATGTTGGGAGAATCAATAAATTTTCGGTAGAGCGGAATCTAAATGTCGGTTAAATAAGCACCATTAATTACATATTCGATTTGACCTATGGACGAATATGCAACCATATATTTCATGTTTGTTTGAGTAATAGCAATGAGATTCTCCAATATCATGCTAAAAATAGCTGGATTTCATGAAAAATATATCATTTGTTCGATAAGAAATAGAAAAGAATATCGAATTATGCATAGCCCAACCCTCTCTAGAATTAAAATTAAAAAAGAAAAAAATTGGGCCGAAAGAGGCTAGTACTGTCATAGCCATTAGCCCGACCCGGCCAGGCCTTAGGGCCAATTTTTTTTGTAGTTTCGAGTGCGAGCGCGACCCGACCACATTGTAAAGAGATGGAGAGCGGGAGAGCCACTTGGGGAAGCGTCTCAAGCGAGTTATCAAAGGGCGGCATATGATTTGGCCTGCTGACGTGTCTCCAACACTGGACATTATCCTCCACGTCGTCCAGCTAAGCTTGACATGTAACCTGCATTTTCGCGTGGTGTTAAACCCTGCTTTCTCTCTCTCTCTCTCTAAATAATTTTTTATGTTAATCGCGGCGTCCCGACAGCTACATCCGAGGAGCGAGGAAACAAATAAAACCGTCCTCCAAGTCTCTCTACCCTCTCCCACCTTCTACCCACTCCACACGTTCGCGCCTCCTCTCTCTATAAATACAAGACCCACTCACCCTTTCTCTTTATATCATTAAACAGAAGAACCACTCATCCTTTCGCTCTCTAAACCGAGGAACCACACAAACGAAGCCTCTGGTTGCTCTGTCTTGGCGTGTCTATACAGTGCTTCCTCTCTCCTATACACTGCTCTCTCTCTCTCTCTCTCTCTCTCTCTCTAGATTGGAGAGCCGCGCGTCTGAAGCATCTTGCTCTTGCACTGTTGTTTTGTACCTGTACATTTTTGCCCTAATATTCAAGGCCGGATATCTCTCTCTTTCGCTTTAAATCTAAGGCCTTATATATCTCGCTCTCTACCCCGATCCTCTTATTCATGGAAAAGCCACTTCGACCGCATGATATCAGCACATTTGATGCCGATTCTTGCAAACGCATTGCACAGGGCCCTGTTGCCGATGTTCAGATCGTTACATCTGATGGTCACTCCATTGCCTCTCACTCCAGAATTCTGGTACATATCTCTCTCTTCTTCTTCTGTTAATTTGATGGATTGTATCCTTCATTTCTATGAATAATTATTCATGGATGAATGCTTGATGGTAAGATTTTTGATATATCTGTCTTGGAATTAGGCAGGATTTGCTGGAGTTTAAACGGATGAATCTTCAACCTCTTTGTCATTCAATTCTTTTGAGTTTTAGCGTTTAGAAAAATTCTTCAACCTGCTCAATAATTTCATATGCTTCTTTTCTTTTGGAGAACCACGTTCAATCTACCGAAAATTTCCCTAAAAATTACGAGCAGCAAAAAAAGATATCTTGAATCAATGGAGAGAGATACTTTGCTGTTATGCAAAAACTGAGATTGAGAAACAGAAAGATGCCAGGCTGTATTCCAGTCTGTTTTCCAATAACCGAGACCGATTCCAAGCCGTTTCACAAGAATAAGAGAGAGAGGGAGAGAGAGAGTCCAAGAAGCTTCATGGGAACAGGGGATGAGAGAGAAAGTCGAAGTAGTTTCCTAGGAACAGGGGATGAGAGAGAGATCCAAGCGGCTTATTTTGAACAGGTGATGAGAGAGAAATTCGAGGATTCATCAAAGGTGGCTGGAGCCGTCTCCTCTCAAACCCAACAACTTATAATTATGGCTAATCTGCCCTTCCACGAAAAAAGTCGCCCGGAAACTAAAGGAAAAATGTTCCGTGAGTCGGCCGACTTACACTATTTTCGTCTGGTCTCCCTACAAATCGATCCACAATTTTAAGAGTTCAATAATCTCAACCGTGACAATGATCTGAAATTTTTTTTTTCAAAAATTAAAGTATTATTTTTTAAATTCCTTTATTCACCGTCCATTTTAACGTTTTAGTTGAAATATTTTTTCAGATCCGTCATAAAGATGGATGTGTTAAATAGACAAGGGACGGCACGGTAATAAGCGAGTCGGCTGATTCACCAAAACTGTGCCCGTAATTAAATTGTAAATTAGTAAAATATTTTGTAATTTTGATTATTTAGATCTTGTTTTTTCTTTTCCCTCTCTAAATTTGGTTTTTGAATACGTGATATTTCATTTGTAGGCATTTGCTTCGCCAGTATTAGAAAACCTTGTTGGCCGGCCTCAAAGGAACGAAGGGCTGAAGACCATTTCAATCCCTGGAGTTCCCCATGGAGCTGTGCACGCCTTTATTGGGTTTCTCTCCACTCTCCGGTATGCTTTTCTCTCTCAAAAATGACAAAACCGCCCCTAGTCCTGCCTTCCATTTTCTTTTGGCTAGTGCGTGCTGTTGATCCCAAGATTGATAAAAGTACCCCTTTTTAATCTTGTCAAACTTGGCACAAATACTTCTGATTTTTCTTTGTGTTGGGTTGTTTGGTTGGTTGGGTTGTAATTATATTTCATACATTATTTTACATTTCCATATTAGGTTGGTTCGGTTGTAATTATATTTTATTGAGTTATTTTACGTTTCCATATTTTTAAAAGAGAATTGATACTATAGGACACTCTTCCATATATATAGGACCAAAAATACCACCCTTAAATTTGATACATATTTATAAAAAGGTCAAGTCTTATACTTATGTGATAATTTTTTTAGAGATCCGGGCTAATTTTAATAGTGATCCTTTAGAGTCTTATACACATTAGTAGAAGAAGATTCTATAAAAACGTCACTCTTTTTTAAAAAAACATATTTTATTATTGAAATTTAAAAATAGTCTTCTATTTTTTTAGATAATATTTTTGTATACAATGCTCAAGTAATATTTTTTTAAAGTAAAATAATTTATGCGTCAAGGGTGCATAATTACATTTTCTTCCTGCCACGCATCCTATATCTATCTTAAAGATAGATGTTGAGTTTTCGTCTCCACAAAAAAAATAAAAAAAACCCTAAAATTAATGGTTTAAGATTGTATTCAAATTTAATTTAATTTTGTACATCAAATAAAGTTCAATGTTGGGTGGCTTTATTTCTTACTATCACAAACCCTTAAAAAGTATAAAAATAAAGGAAATAAACGGTTGAAATGACCACATAACATTTAAAATTTGTAAGAGAATTTTGGTCATTTATTTGTACTGAATTATTTTTTATATTTATTTATAATAGTGAGAAGGATGATGTCCAAAATTTGAACTTAATCCGAGTGAAATGTGTTTGGTATAAAAAAGTTGAGATTTGCGCATAAAACTTTAAATATATAGGAACATTTTAAATCCCGAAGCAAAAACAAATTTTACATAATTTTCCTATTTTTACAGAACAAACTTATATAATTAAACCAATTTACCTGATTAGACGGTCCACCAATATAATCGGGGATTTAATTGATATGAAATTTTTGAGATCATTTTGATTCACCACGTGAATAATGCACAAAACAATGCTTCCAAGGTCTTAGAATTAAGGTCGACGCGGGAGTAATGATTTAGAAGATTTTTGGTGGTCTTATTCAGTTTTCTTTTCTTAATTACCCATGTGCTTTTCTGGGAGGCATCGGCCTAGGTGATCCGGCCGACCACCAAAACGTGCCATTTTTCAATCACACAAATGTCATTTATTAATTTTTCTTTTGAAGGCACGGCAATCATGGCGGTGCAATTGAGTACTCAAACACGTGCGCTGCATTTGCCAGCTGCGCATTTTAAAGTGGACAAAAGTATCTCTAGTCATATTTCGCTCAATTTTCACCCATGTGATATGCCCATGGCCCATCTTCATTGATGCGAGGGATCCAATGGTCTGAAATGTTTCCCATGCTCTTAGATGAGTAAAATAAATGTTTACGATGGCCTTTTCAATTAAATAAAAGGTCGACTCACTTGGGACCGATCCGATCATGTTACAACACTTGATAGGAATTACCAGGTACAAAACAATGAAAAGTAAGCTTAAAAGATTACGGTTTGCTTAAAAGATTACGGTTTGAAGTAATAAGAAAAGATACGAAGATTTATAAAAAATATGACACTTGATAAAACAAATTGATAGATGAAAATTCGTGTAATTTACATCAAATAGTTAGAAAAAGACTTTGATAAAACAAATTGATAGATGAAAATTCGTGTAATTTACATCAAATAGCTAGAAAAAAACTTTGATGATGATGATCATCTTCCCAATTAACTAAAAAAAATCCAAAAATCCATGAAAAATAACAAAATTATTTTAATAAAAATTTGGCACCGTTTTAATAAAGAGATTATGAAAAAAAAATTGGAGGTTTTCTCTTGTTGACCACTTGTCAGGTGTGCTGTGTTGTGGTGGGGAACTACAATTATTTGTGTGACCACCGGTCTATTGTAGGTGATTTTAGAATGGATGGTCTCGATAGACTTTCTTGTCTTCTTTTCTTTTCTTTTTTTTCCTTTTTTCCTTTTTTCCTTTTCTTTTTTTTTGAAGTGTGAGCTTTTATTAAGATAATGAAATGTACGAACTAGGAAAAAACAAAATAGAAAAAGTAAGGGAGAGAAGAAACACAGGTGGTCTCGATGGACCTTCACATATGTACAACACAACGTCCAATGGTTGTGCAACTTAATTCTAATACAATCATAAGCAAGTAGTTTTATAATGGTGAAAGAGAAATTGAAGGTTATGTCAAGCATATTTGATATGGTCGCCATGGTTCAGGCAAATTATGGCCAAGTATTTGATTCAAAATGAAAAAGGTCTGTCATTTTTATGAACTTCTTTTCCAAATTAACATTCAAGAAAAGAAACTTGTGTAATTGAGATTAAGACTTGAATGATGTCACACCAATCACTGCATCTTTTGCACAAATGATGTTAGGGTACATATAAAGGGATGTGTGTTTAAATTTGTTATGGTACAAGCATTGGAGATGTCAATATTGAAATTAGTCTTGCAGATAAAACACATCTTTACACTATTTACAAAAGCATATATAAGATTTTACATGATGTTAAATGTATTTTTCAAAGTGAGATTCCAATAATAGGCAGTTATGAAAAAAGAGAAACCATAGACAAAGTTTTCATAGCTACGTAAGTTATAAGAAGGGAAAAATATATATTATATTTAGTACATAGATGTCGCAATCAATCTTGACCGTTGAATGTAAAATGGGACAGATGCATTTGTTCCATTAACCAAGCTCAAAGTTCAAAATAAACTTTTTTTTAACTTTGTCACACTTAAGTTGGGAGATTCTCAGATATTTCACATTTGAGAAGTATATGTGATTGTTACTTCCTCGTACTAAAGTAAAAGTAAATAGTCTTAATTATATGCAATCACAGTGAGAAACATATTCAAAATTTAGATAATAGAGTGGAGAAAATAGACCCAACTCCCATAGTGTTCATACTGAAACTAAAGGGACCTTTGGTATTCCAAGTTGCCTGCCTTTAAACATTCAAACTCAACATGCTGGAAGTTTAATTTGATATCATAGGCCCTAACCATTGAGAACCTTGTGCACAGATGCATGGAGGGAGAAATGGAGAAGTATGGAGTCCACCTCTTGGTTCTTTCTCATGCCTTCTCAGTACCCCAATTGAAGAGGATTTGCACCAGAGCCCTTGCAGAGCTCCTCACTGTTGATAATGTGGTGGATGTTCTCCAATTGGCCAGGCAATGTGATGCACCCAGCTTGTATTTGAGGTGCATGAAGCTAATTTCTAAGGATTTTAAGAAAGTGGAGGGCTCAGAAGGGTGGAAGTTCATGCAAGATAATGACCCTTGGCTTGAACTGGAAATCCTGCAGGTCTTATCTGAAGAAGAACATGTAAGTTTTTTTTTCTTCGACAATTCTGTTGTAAGTCTTTTAATTTCCATTGGCTATTTTGTTCTCTTTCATAGTTTGAGAGTTTTGGATTTTGGATCGGTTTGGGTGGGTGCCTGGGTGGATCAAATTTATAGAGAGAGAATCAACAAAGAAAACATTTCTCTGACTTGGGCTCTTATGCTATTTTCTTTTGGGCAATTTGCAGAGGGAGAAAAGACGGCAAAGACACAAAGAAGAACAGAAGATATACCTGCAACTAAGTGAGGCCATGGAGTCTCTCCTCCACATTTGCACAGAAGGTTGCAGTACAATTGGACCTTATGACAGGGAATTGAATGTGAAGAAGGGGCCCTGTAAATATCAGACCTGTGAAGGATTGGAGCGTCTCATTCGCCATTTTGCTGGGTGCAAGAAGAAGGTGGGAGGTGGGTGTCCCCATTGCAGGAGGTTATGGCAGTTGCTTGAGCTCCACTCTCGCATTTGTGAGCAGTCAGCAACCTGTAAGGTTCCCCTTTGCATGTAAGCTCTCTCTCTCTCTC